GGGAGGGGGCGGGAGGGGCCGCCCGCCGGGCTGTGTCTCCGAGTCGGCGTCGGAGTCGGAGTCGAGCCGCCTCTGCTGCCGCGGCCGGAGCGCCGAGGCACAGGGAGCACAGCTCACCGCAGCCCGACTCGCGGCACTCAGATCCCCCTGCCTCAGCTCCTGAGAAGCGGGGACCGCAGGCGGGCACCCCCACGCCCGACGGATTCTTTGATTTTGTTTGTAGAGAGGCGGACTCGCTGTGTTGCCCAGGCTGGTCTCACGCTCCTGGGCTCAAGGGAGTCTCCCGCCTCAGCCTCCCCAGGTGTTGGGGTGACGGGCGTGAGCCACCACACCTGGCCAGAAAGAGCATTCTAGAAGAAACAGCTTGTTGCTTTGCCAACGGGGCTAGCCGGAAGGAAACAGTTTCTGAGATATTCTTCCCTTGTAGGGAACAGCGGCCACCAGCCCACTTTGCAATGTCCCACTCTGTGAACCCAGAGTTTCGAACGATTTTGTTCAACTCCAGAGCTCGGCAGAACCTAGCATCCAGCCGGGGCCTTCACGCGTGTGTGTGTGGCATTGACCGAGTCATCCCCACACTGTGCAGACCACAAGGGGCAGCAACCGCACGGTCCCCGAAGGCTTCATCAAAGACACGTACACACACCCAGCAGAGCTGACCAGCAGGCCCTGCTTGGTGACGGGCCCCTCCCCAAGAACAGAGAGAGCACATGTTTCGTCCGACCTCTTCCAGTAAATGCCCAAAGTCCTTCAGGTTCTAGAGGTTTTGGAAACGTTTTGTTCCCCACAACCAAAAACATTTTCCCATGTTTCCTTTACCACATTTACAGATGCCAAACTCAAAACTATTCTATCTGACAGATAAGCGGCGGCCAAATAGTCTTGCTCATAAGGATCCAACGACCCGGCCATGCAAGGTGGGAGCCCAGGACGGAACGAGCCACAGGGGCCCTTAGAGGGCATCTGTGCAGTGACAGAGAGAGGGTCCCTTCCAGACGCCTCCAGAATGGGCCCTGGGTGGGTTAAAGGTCACCAGGAAGCAAACGTTCCCCAGACCTAGGCACCTGGCTGAATGCCACTGGTTTCTCCCTGTCTGTGCAGCTGCCCCGCCTCCTTCACACTAAATAATCAACAAACAACACTTGGCACCGCAGAGGAGCAGCCTATAAAGTGGCCTTTAGCCACTGCTAACATGGTGATAGTAAAATAAGAACTAGTCACGTGGTTTTCAGATAAAAATTCAACATGGAATAAGGGATCAACACGGGGAGAGACTTTGCTGGGGACGTTCATTTACCAACCACGCAGGGGGCCCCCGGGCGCCATGCTGACCTCACGTTCTCCGATCCCAGACCCGAGATGAGCTTGTCTGCCGCGATCAGCCGCCTCTCCATGATTTTGGCTTCTTCCTGCAGCTTCTGCTTCTCTAGGATGGCTTCTTCATACTTGGCCCCCAAAGCCTTCAGCTCCTTCTGGATCGCTGCCAACTCATTCTGGATTCTTTCTAGTTCCCGTTTGGTTAGGAAGAAATTCCGCTCCAGCCTGGCCACCTAGGGGAAGACAGTTCGAAGAATAATGGGGACAAGGACTAAGCAGGGCAGAGGCCACATAGTCTCACACTGGCACGTCTGTCCACACTGTGTCTAATGTCTGCTCTTGGGGCCACCGTGTGCTGCACTGAGGCACATGGCTTCTTGTCTTAGTTACCTCAACTGCTGCTACAAAAGTCCTACATCCCATTAGAAGACATCCTGCACCCAAGTTAGCACTTTTTTTTGAGAGCTGTGTTGCCCAGGCTCAAGTGCAGTGGTAAGGTTGTGGCTCACTGCAGCTTCCAGCTCCTGGGCTCAAGCGGTCCTCCTGCTTCAGCCTCCCGAGAAGCTAGGACAACAGGCACACATCACCATACCCAGCGAATTGTCTGATTTTTTGTGGAGACAAGGTCTCACTATGCCCAGGCTGGTCTCGAACTCCTGGGCTCAAGCGATCCTCCTGCCTCAGCCTCCCAAAGTGTTAGAATTACAGGCATGAGCCACTGCGCCCAGCCCGATGGTTTACTTTTCAGGTGTACTGAGGTCACAGTAGGATGACACTGCAGTTTTAAGCCAAAAACTCAGAAGACTATATTGAAGACAATGCTGGTCTTCCTATTGGTTCTAAGTTTTCTGAGTAATAAAGTTCTGAGTTATAAAATAAAGTCAAAAGATGTCTCCAAGTGACCAAATCCACCTTATTTTATCTGTATTTTGTGCTCTGTGTTACTTCGACCCAGTTGTTTTCAACTAGGGCTGATTTTGCTCCCTGAGGACATGTGGCAATGTCTGGATGTCACTGACGAGGGGGAGGGGAGGATAACCCTGGCATCCAGTGGGGTGAGCCAGGGAGGCTGTAAATACCCCATGATACCTAGGACAGCCCTGGACAGAGAACTGCCCGGCCCGAGTGTCACCGTGCAGAAATGGAAAAACTCTGCCTCAGCAGAGGAGAACAACCAGGGGCGCCTTTCATCCCACACTAGCACACAAAATGAGAAAACCTTTCAGACCTGGGAACAGCATGCCTAGCTAGATGAGAGCCGTATTTGGGGGCCACCACGTCCTGGGGGAGGAACATTTCTGTGGTTTAAGTCAGCAGAGGGGCGGGCGTGTACATTCTGGCTCCAAGTGGGTCTCCGGCAGTGGGCATCGATCCTGCTGGCAGGCAATACCTTCTCCCTTTTAGGCTTGATCTCCCTGAAGACGTCACAGTAGCCCATCACGGCTTCTACGAATTTCAGCATCCCCAGCCCGGCTTTGCTCACAGCTTCCATTTCTTCAACGGTGGTGTTGAGGGTCTTCAAGAGACCTAACGTCAGAGATGCAATAATTCCCATGAGCGGCAAGCTTCATCGTGAGAAGCTCAAGTAGGGAATACATCGCCTGTGGACAAGGACGTGTAACTGGCTCCTTATTCCTCAGGGATCCCCAGAGCAGAAGCTAGACAGTGTCTTCCGGCCAAACCAGAAGGGGTTTTGTGTAAATGTTTAGGATGTGGGGAAGGGGCGCCGCTTCCTGCCACCTGGGACATCCTAAGACGCAGGTGCCTCTTCCTGACACCCAGTGGCCCTGGGGACCTGAGGTGAAATGGGGACTCCCAGCTGGGCACCATGGCAACCTGCACAGGCAACTAACTGGGACTCGTAGGACATGACGGGTCACTTGTCACTTCCTCCATGCCCTCACTCTGGGAGTAATTTCAGCTAAGTGGAAATCTATCCAATGAATAGAGGAAGTGGGTTTTCCTAGTAGCTGAGATAGTTTGTGTTTAGTTTACTTTTGTTTTTAAGGGGCTGAACTTTTGTTTTTAAGGGGCTGATGATAAGGTTCTAAATAAACCATCACTTGGTTTACTTAGTGTGCTATTTAGTTATGAACTGGTACGGCTTTTCGCAATGGCTGACATCATTCCACCTGGCTGAGCACTGGGCAGGATCAGGACTCGGGCATTCTGTTACCAAAGAAGGGCTGGCTGTAGGGGACACTGCCCCTCCCCTCACCCACTCCCCAGGGACCTGCAGAAGAGTTGATATGGCTGGGCTCGGTGGCTCACACCTGTAATCCTACCACTTTGGGAAGCCGAGACGGGAGGATTCCTTGAGCCCAGGATTTCTTTTTTTTGAGTTAGACCCTCACGCTGTTGCCCACGCTGGAGTGCAGTGGCATGCTCACGGCCGCTGCAGCCTCGATCTGCCGGGCTCAGGTGATCCTTCTGCCTCAGCCTTCCAAGTAGCTGGAACCACAGGCACATGCCATCAAGCCTGGCTAATTTTTTTATTTACTGTAGGGACAAGGTCTCGCCTAGTTGCCCAGCCTGGTCTTGATCCCTTGGACACAGGCAATCCTCTCACCTCCGCTTCCCAATGACAGGTATGAGCCACGGTGCCCAGTTGTGCCCCAGAATTCCAAGGCCAGCCTGGGCAGCATAGTGAGACCTTGCCTCTCTATAGAAAGAAAGAGAGAGAAAGAAAAGAAAAGAAAGAAGGAGGGAGGGAGGGAGAGAAAGAAAGGGAAGAAGGGAGGAAAAGAAAGCAAAGGAGACTTGATACTGACAAGAGGCACACGGGAGGAGTCAAGGTCAGACCAACTCTTGGCTCTCCCAGGCGCACAGACGCACAGAACATGAGGCTGGGTTGGGCTCCAACAGGGAGCTAGAGGTAGTGCTGAACCAGACATCTGGTGGGCATCAGCGGCCACCTCCTCTCCCCCTCTCTCTGTGTCACGTGACATGCTGCCACTGTTCCGTCCGTAGGGCCCTGGTGGTGCCATTTGACTCCAGTGGAGTGCCTGCATAGCTCTCCGGCCACAGCAACGCCAGGTCTGGGTGAGCCTGGCCCCTCCCACACACGGCCGTGGCACCTTTGATGTTTTTCACTTGGCTCTGGGTGGTCGAGTCAAAGTCAATCTCCATCAGAGAGCGCAGGAAGTTGGGGTCTGACATCATGCCCTTGGCGGTCTTCCAGTTGAGCTCCTTGTACCCCTTCATGATGAGGATGCACTCGCAGACCGTCTGCACCTGCTTCGGGGGCTTCGCGAACGACCTGGCAGGAGCGAGAGCGCACGTGGATCGGTCCCGGGGTGGCAGATGGGCCTGAGACTCCCGAGGAAAGGGCTCGACTCAAAGCCATTCCCAGTGGCGACTCCGCATAGAGACCACGGAAACCAGATCCCAGCACACGTGGCCCGGGGCGCTGTCCCTGAGGACAGGGCCGGGGTCACATCGCTCAGCCCAGGCCGGGCTCTCGGGACCCACCTGGGCAGCAGAGTCACAGGGCCGTGAGAACACAAACCCAGGCTGCCCAAGCGTCTGAACTGGTAGGTCAGGGTGCGGTCTGGGAACCTGTGTTTTAATTACACCCTGGGATGAGTCCTCAGACGCTAAGTAGTGGCTGCTGTCATTACTGTCACCGTCATCATTTGCTAGATGAAGAAACAGGGCGCTGCAGGCGTGGGTGACCTGGTTGTGCTCACACTGGCCAGGAGGCCGTGAGTCCCACATCCGGGCATGTCCCAGACTATGCTGCCCCGCAACTGCTTTCTTTGGCTTTGGTGACACCAGACTGTCACGCTCCTCCTCCATCACCCGATGTCCAGTGCCCTCAGTCCTCCAGGGGGCCAGAACCCCCAAAGGAACGGGACAGCTCAGCAGCACTGACGTAAAGGCCAGAGAGGAGCTGGACCCCTCTCATGTGGGTGGTGCCCCCTGAGGCTGCTCGGGCTCCCTGCTGCCCGCCAAGTCGGCGAAAGCAAAGTCCACGTCTTGCCGACGGAGCCGAGAAGAGAGGCAGGCGCGGAGGAGAAGGATGCAGAAGCGACAGAGAAAGACGGGGAGGAGGGAGAGGAGGGGATGGGCGGGAGACAGAGGCCCAGAGCACACAGAGCAGTGTGGGGAGGAGAGGAAGGTGCCTTGGCCTTGGAGTCTCACCCCAGTCGAGGCCAGCGTGAGCCAGCGGAGGGGACAGAGAGGGAGAGACATCGCAGAGAGACAGTTGGAGAGAAAGAGACAGAGAGCAGAGACACAGAAAGAGACAGAGAGGCAGAGGCAGAGACAAAGACAGAGACAGAGAGACAGAGACAGAGACAGAGAGAGGCAGAGAAACAGAGACAGAGTCAGAGACAGAAGAGAGACAGAATGGGAGAGAAAGACAGAGAGTCAGAGACAGAAACACAGTGACACACAAACACACACAGAGGCAGAGAGAGACAGTCAGAGAAAGACAGAAAGAGACAAAGAGACACAGAGACAAAGACAAAAGGAGAGACAGAGAGACACAGAGGCAAAGTCAGAAAGGGACAAAGAGGCAGAGACAGGCAGAGACAAAAAACAAAGACAGAGAGAGAGAGAGAGAGGTAGAGAGACAGAAACAGAGAGAGGCAGAGAGAGGGAGAGAGAGAGAGTCAGAGAGAGAGGGAGACAGAGAAAGAGAGACAGAGAGAGAGGAGGGAGGAGGGACAACCTGAGCAGCCAGCAGTCGAGACTCTCTGCAGAGGGAGAGCCCCCGCCCCTGCAGACAGCCAGGAAAGGGCACCCAGGGCCAGGACAAGCCAGGGCGGCAGCCAGGAGGGAGGACACCCAGCCTACAGCACACAGCCCAGTGATTAAAGTCATGGCCCTGAGTCACCGGAGAAAGCTGCAGTTCCGTGGCCCTGGTGCTCGCCCAGGCAGGCGGCTGTCTTGAAAAGGTTCCCTTCAGGGTCGGTGAAAGTCCGACCCAGGCCACCGCTGTCCGAACAATCCGGGTGGAGGGATCGGCGAGATGTTTCGATGCCAGACAGAAGGAGCCCGCGCCCGAGCAGCTGGGTCAGAGCCCTTGGGCACGTTAGGGACCATCCAGGGGTCTCGGTTTTCCCATCTGTAAGGTGGGGACACAGGACTGGACCCTTCCAGCTCCCAAATCCTATGTGTCTATGAAAGTGAAATTCTCTGCTGTCAGATTACAGACATGCTCTGGACCTCATTTATCCAGAACACACCACCTTCCAAATGCCGGACAGCTGAGGTGCTTGAAATACTGAGATGGGATGAGAGGGAGACAGGAAGAGAGAGAGAGAGGTGGGGGGGAGGGAGAAAAAGAGGCAGAGAGAGAAAGAGGGAGGGAGAGAGAAAGAAAGACAGAGAGAGAGAGAGAGAGAGAGAGAGAGACGGAGGGAGAAAGAGACAGAGAGAGAAGAAAGGAGAGAGACAGAGAGAAAGAAAGAGTTGGGGAGGAGGCCGGGCTCGGTGGCTCAGCCTGTAATCCCAGCAGTTTGAGAGGTCAAGGCGAGTGGATTACCTGAGCCCATGGGTTCAAGACCAGCCTGGGCAACTTGGGGAGACCTTGTCTCTACAATTAAAAACAAATTAGCTGGGCGTGGTAGCACACTCCTGTAGTTCCAGCTACTTGGAAGGCTGAGGTGGAAGGATCCGGAGCCCAGCAGGTCGACACTGGGGTGGCCGTGAGTGTACCACTGCATTCCAGCCTGGGCGACAGAGCGAGACTCCGACTCAGAAAAAAAAGTTGGGGAAGGAGGGAGAGAAAAAGAGAGAGGGAAGAGGACAGAGAGAGAGAGACAGAAAGACAGCAGAGGAGGGGAGGGAGGGAGAGAAAGAGAGGAAGAGAGACAGAGAAACAGAAGGAGAGCGAGTGAGGGAGGGAGAAAGAAAGAAAGAAAGGGGAAGAAAGAGAAAGGAGAGGGGGAGAGAGAGCGATGGGGGGAAGAGAAATGCTGCCCTGCCTTGAAGAAAATAATCATTCCAAACCCCACTCCCTGCCTCCCACTCCGCTCGCCAGACACACTGGCTGTCTCTGCTTTTCCCTGAACCAGGCTCCTGCCAGGTGCAGGGAAGGCACCCCCTCAAGCCCACACGAGCCTGAGCAGGCCAGGTCCCCAGCATCCCGGTCAGGGCAGCAAGGGCCTCTCCTTCCTGACCTCTCCTCATCATTTCACCGCGCGTGGCGAGATCCCCGTAGGAAGCAGACTGAAGACCCCGCCTTCAGCCCCAGCACCTGCAGGTGGGGTGGGATGAGGGGCAGACACCCACTGACTAGCAAATGAATGAAAGTAAGAAAATTGAAAGCAGGCCGGGCGGGAGGATTGTTTGAGCCTGGGTGTTTGAGAGCAACCTGGGCAACATAGTGAGACCCTGTCTCTGCCAACAAAATCAAAACATTAGCCAGATGTGGTGGCACACATCTGTAGACCCAGCTACTAGGGAGGCTGAGCAGAAGAATCACCTGAGCCCAGGAGGTCGAGGCCGAGGCGAGCTGTGATGGTGCCACCGCACTACAGCCTGGGCAACAGAGTGAGACTCCCCCACTCAAAAAAATAAAAGAAAAATAAAAGAAGAAGAAAAGTGAACGGGAAAGCCAGTAGCAGAGGGAGCCTTTCATACTTTCATAGTGGAGAAACGCCATTTGTAATCTTCATTACTCCTCATCCTCTTGCCTTAAGATTGAATGATTCCCACAAAGAGGTCCGAGTGTCATAGAAAGGACGTGCTTTTTAAGGAATTAAAGGATACAAAATTGTCAGGATGTATGTATTGGCTCACTGGGCCTAACACCCAAAGGAGCTAAGGAAAGCCAGCTTGTATCCATCTGGAAAAAGTAAAATTGGATCCACGCTTGCATGGAATCTCAGGAAAAAAAGGTCCCCAATAGATAAAATATTTAAGTTTAAAAAAATTAAATCATAAAAATACAGAAGGAAACCATGGGGAAATTATTTTATAATCTTTTAACAATGACATAATATCTAAAAGTCACACAATAAAATATTGCTAAGCTCTGCCACATAAAAATAAGCATGCATGGCAAAAACAAACACACAGACAAACCTCATAAACAAAGTCAAATGGCCAAAGGCAAATTGAAAAAGTAGTTGTAGCTCCCATGACAGATAAAAAGTGAACCCCCTGTTATATAAAAAGCCTCTGGACATGGATAAGAAATAAAAAGCAACAATAACAACAACCCTATAGATAAACGAACAAAGCACAAAACAGTTCACAGAAGATGAAATACACAGGTCGGCCCCACTCATCCTAAGAGAAAGGACAATTAAATGCACAAACTACCTGGGCCCGTGGGTTCGGACCCGCCTGGGCAACTTGGTGAGAGCTCATCTCTACAATAAATCAAAAAAAATTAGCCGGGCGTGGTAGCACGCGCCTGTAGTTCCGGCTACTTGGAAGGTTGAGGTGGGAGGATCGCCGGAGCCCAGCAGGTGGAGGCTGCGGTGGCCGGGAGTGGCCACTGCACTCCAGTCTGGGCGACGGAGTGAGACTCCAACTCAAAAACAAAAACAAAAACAAACAAACAAAAAAAAACCTGCACAAACACCACCCTTCAGCTACCAGATAAGCAGGAAGCCAAACAACTGGTTGCACCCCCGCTGTTGGAGAGGCTGTGAAAACTGGTGCAGCTCATTTGAATGGGGTGAGAGTCCAAATCGGTGCCACCCCCACAGAGGGGTTTAGGCAACAGCTACACACATGATAAGTGCACACACCCCAGGACGCAGCCAAGTCCACTTCCAGAAACATATCCTGCAGGTGGACTTGCCCAGGCGCACAGTGAAGTCAAGTTTCTTCTTCTTCTTTTTTTTTTTTTTTGAACTGGGGTCTCACTCTACTGCCCAGGCTGGAGTACAGTGGCACAATCATGGATAATGGCAGCCTCCAACTCCCGGGCTCAGGCAATCCTTCCACCTCAGCCTCCTGAGTAGCTGGAACTACAGGTTCGCATCACCATGCCCTGTTTTGTTTTGTTTTGTTTTGTTTAAATAGAGATGAGTTCTTGCTACGTTGCCCTGGCTGGTCTCAAACTCCTAGCCTCAAGTGATCCTCCCACTTCAACCTCCCAAAGGGTTGGAATTACAGGTGTGAGCTGCCACGCCCAGCCAGGTTAGGTTTATTCTTTGCCACACTATTTGTGGAGATGAAAGACTGGAGATGAGCTAAAGGTTCATTGACAGGGTCTGGCTAAATAAATTTGACTCAGGCATACAGTGGAATGTGACGGGGCTGCTTTAAAATATCAGGGAAGTTCATCACATGGCAACATGCAAATAGATCTCCAAAATGTCCTGCTCAGCAGAAAAGATGCAGAAACATAGCCATAGTGTGTTACCGTTTATATACAAAAAGAAGGAAAACAGAATGTACAGGTATCCCTCGTTTTCTGAACCTTCAGAATCCAGCAGGAACCAAAGAGACCCTTGCATACCTGGTCGCCTCGATCAAGCATAAAACCTCTCTGGTGGGCACATGAGAACTGAATGGCAATGGTCACCTCTGCAGTGCGCGGAGGCCACCAAGGCTGATGAGGACATGCCAGGAGGGAGTTTTTCCCGGCCTGTCTTTTTGATGTAGGAATCATAATCCCAGCCTAGGTTTACGTGGCTCTGACCATGTGCCCAGCCCTATTCTGGGAACGAGTCACACACTGGCTCCTTTGATCCTCATGAAGACCCTGATACGGCAGGGACAGTTATCATCATCCACATTTTGCAAAGGATGAAACTGAAGCACAGAGAGGTTAGGTGACTTGCCTACGGCCACACAGCAGATAAGAGGCAGAGCCATGCCTGTGTGTATAACAATGACCCCTTTCGGGTCATAGACACCTGCAGGGGACACATGTCCATCTCTCCACGTGATCCTGGGGAAGCCCACTTCCCACCCTCTCCCTTGGGTTCATGGGAGAACTCACAGCCCCTTCTTTTCAATGAAATCCTCTTCAAAATCCTTCCCAACTCTGCTCTGTCTACGCCTTCATGCTGCCAACCTGGGCGTGGCATCCAAAACCCTGGCCCTCAGCTCAGTGCATGTTTCTCCTCTGTCCCAGCCCCTCCATCTAAATGTCCAACACACAGGACTGAACACCCAAAGCTTCCATTCTCGGACCTTTGTGGGTACCACCCTTTGCAAAGCACCGAAACGATGACTTCTTGCCTCCCCAGGTGAATGATCGAAGGGAGCCAAATTCTGTGCCCAAATTTGCGTGCATTTCATGAGCAGGGAATCCAGGGCACGGCCTTCAGCAAGGAGCGCACAGAAACCAAGAAAAGTCAGCTTGGAGAGTCAGTGACCCACTCGCAGATGGGGGTCTCTCTGGCCGATCTGACTTCAGGGCCGGGGACACTGGAACCCTTCTGGAAACGAGCAAGTGACGAGGCATCATGGGTGAGAGTTGAGGTCTCTAAGCCCCAGAGGAGCTCTGTACAGGCCGGGCAACCCAGGGGCAGGGGTGGGTGGGTGGAGGCTGGGGCCAGGATGGCGTGTCCTCCTGGAATTCCACTCACCAGACTCAATTCGCCACCGCAATCCAGTGGCAGTGCCCTGCGGGGGGCAGGTCCTGGGGGAGACAGCCCGCCCACCCCACACCAGGCCACACTTCCTGACGGCACACGAGCCCTCTTGGCTGGGGACAGAGCCACTTTACCGATGGATTTGCAGAATGTCTGGGGGCCACAGGCCTGACTCATCCTCCACCCCTCAAAAGCCCATTTGGCTGGAAATGGATTCGGATGTCACCCACCCAGCCGTGGCACACAGTGCATCTTTGTGACCCGTTTTCAGCAGCGCCCATGCTGGGCACCCTGCACCGTCTGGAGCAAGCATGGGTGTTGTGTCTTCCACGAGGAGGGCTGATGTCCAGTGCTCTATCCCTCCCTCGCAGGCCCATCCCAGAGCCCAGCCTCCTTCTGTGAGTCATCTGGGTTCAAGGTCGCGGACCCTGCTCCCTGCTGGCTGAGGCCCCAGGCCCAACCGCCTTGCCTCCCCGCCTCCCTCATGGTCTGCAAGCGAGGGCAACCACAGTCCCCACCTGGAGGGGGTGCGGTCCAGTGGCGACACATGCAGCCGGCGCCCTGACGCACGCCTGGTCTCCACCATGATGGTGGCCACCCAGCTCTGCGAAGGTGGCGGCCGAGGCACCCTGGGTACCTGATCTCAGTCACATCCGACTTGTCCAGCTTCTGCAACTCTAGCTTGGCGGCCTCCAGGATGGGCATGACCTCCTCCAGGGCCGTCTCGGCCTCGGCCTTCTCCACCGCGATCACCTTGTTCTGCTCCTCAATCTCCATGGCCTTTTCTTCTGCGAGTTTCTTCTTCTCCTCCGCTGCAGGGGGAGAGAGAGGTTAGGAAAGCCACTGGGCCTGGGCGGGGGGTGGGCTCTTACGGCTCCTGGACCAAAGCGGAGGCTGGACCTGGGCGGCAGAGGTCTAAGGAACCTTGAGCAATCTGGCGTCCTTGAGGGTTCCAGCGGCAGAAATCCTCACTGTGCAGGGTCTTCCACACCAGGTGGCCCTCCAACTCGGACCCTCCCCGCCTGGCCCACCTGAGACCCACCCACTCCATCCATGACAGGCCACGTGACCCCTGATGGCGCCAGCCCTGTCTTGCTGGTGTGAGCCAAGGATGCCGGGCTGCCCTTCCTGTTTCTGGCTCCGGGGCATCTCCTGTCTCTGTCCCCCTCACACCTTTCCCCGTGTTCACTGGCCCAGGCCCAGGGCCGCCCCTGTCACTCTTGGGCTCGGCCGCCACTCTTTCCATAGGGCTGTTCGCTTCATGACCCGCCCCACAGCCTGCAGTCTCATTGAGTCTTGTCCTGTTTCTTGCCCGGCTGTCCTCACCAGGAGGGAGGCACCTGCCCAAGAGCTATAACCCCAACTGACGGCTCGGCTCAGTGTCCGCAAAAATCACAGCCACCTGGAACCGCAGAATGTGACTTTATTTGGTCTCTGTAGATGTGATTAGTTAAGATGAGGCCATACTGGGTGAGGGTGGGCCCTACATCCAATGACTGGTGTCCTTATAAGAAAGCCCTGCGTGGCCAGGCACAGTGGCTCACACCTGCAGTCCCAGCTACTTGGGAGGCTGAGGCAGGAGGATCACCTGAGCCCAGGAACTGGCGAGCAGTCTAGACAACATAGCAAGACCCATCTCAAACAACAACAAAAAATTAAAAGAAGACTTTGTGAAGACACAGAGGGAAGGAGGCAATGAGGTGATGAAGACAGAGACCGGGATGCTGCGTCTCTAAGTACCACGGCCCCCACGAGCAGCTGGAAGAGGTGAGGAAGAGCTCTCCCCAAGGACCTTTGGAGGGGGCGTGGTCCTGCCCAGGCCTGATTTCAGACTTCTGGGCTCCAGAACCGGGAGAAATGGATTTCTGCTGTTTTGACCGCCCCGACTGGGGAACTGTGTTCCAGCAGCCCTGGGAGAAGGCGTGGTACGAGCCCCACCCAGCATCCTGGTGCGAGGTGACTCCCCACCGCACTGGCCTCTCCGCAGCCCACAAGCCTACACTGGTGGAGCGTCTGCCCCGTGCAAAGCCACGGGTGGCCCTGACACCAGGCAGGCCCCCGGCCTGGGAGCCATTTTCCCACGGGGGCAGCAGGTGGACAAGTGCATCAGACAAGGGTAGGAGTGTGAAGCCTTTGGAACGGAAGCCCCCAGAGCCACGGGAGCGCTGAGGGGACAGCAAGGAGGAGGCAGGCCTGCAGCCGGGCCAGGAAGGAGGAGGGCTGCTGTGGTCACAGGGCGTTCAGTGTGGGGCAGAGCCTGCGGGGGAGGGCCAGCCAGGCCACAGTGGCTCGAGCCACGTTGAGGAACACAACAGGGAGGCTCTTTTCAGCCAGGTAGGAAAACACTAAGACACCCGCAGGAGGAAAAGTTTGTCTGGGCCCCGCCCCGCCCTCTGTGGGGCTTGTCAATGGATCCCATTCCTACGGTCACCAGGAACAGCTCCGGGAAGGGCATGTGACCCAAATCTGTGCAACTCTGGGAACCTTGGGTGACCGCGTGGAAGAAGAGCACCCTCTCTCCCCTGCGGGTGCGGAATGAACAGGACGCCAGCCTCATGCTGGAGGCTCCCAAGCTGTCAGGATGAACAAGGTCTGCAGTCTGAGATGAAGCCCCAACAGAAGACAGCAGAGCCAAGAAAGACATGGATTCCCAGCCGGGCTCAGTGGCTCGGCCTGTCATCCCGCGCCTTGGGAGGCTGAGGTGAGTGGATGGCCTGAGCCCGCGGGTTCGAGACCGCCTGGGCAGTGAGACCTCATCTCTACAATAAATCAAAAAATCAGCCGGGCGTGGTAGCGCACGCCTGTAATTCCGGCTACTCGGAAGGCGGAGGCGGAAGGATCGCCGGAGCCCAGCAGGTCGAGGCTGCGGTGTCCGGGAGCGGCCACTGCACTCCAGTCTGGGCGACAGAGTGAGACTCCAACTCAAAAAAAAAAATGGATTCCCATGGACGCATCTGAGCCCCTAGATCCAGCTGTGCCTGAAGCCAGCCCACCTCTGGAATCAACACATTTCCATTTTAGCTTTCGACCCTTTGAGCTTGGTTTCTGACATTTGCAACCAAAACAGTCCCGATCAGGACGGGTGGCCTGGAAGGAGAGATCCAGAGGAAGCTACCTCCAACATTCCAAGTGAGAGCAAGGTGATCATGGGCATGGATGATAGCAGAGGGGGAGGGAAGGCAACAGTGGGTGGAAAGGGCACAAAACATGGGGGTGGCAAACAGGCCACCCTCAGACCAGACTGCAGCCTGGGCACTGGGGTCCCGGGCTTCCTCAGAGCAGGGGCCAAGTCTCATTCACTTTCCAGCCCCACTGTCCCCACTGTGGGGCCTGACACGAAGCTGATGACCAGCCGGTACCTACTGACGGACAAGCACATGAAATACCTACTTCTCTCGGCCTTATATCAAGGGCAGACAGCTCAGCAAACCCTGCATACTCATTAAATACGCAGAGCAAACTCTGGGGAACACAGAGCACTTTAAGAGTGTTTTCAAGAAGGAGTGAAACCAAATGGGGCCACGCAGGAACGGGACGTCTGATCAAGGTTCTGGAAGCAGAAACGTGGATAGGAAGAGAGGAGAGGAGCGAGCCTTCTGTGAGCACAGCAAGGGTAAAGGAAAAAGTTACTGCAGGAGTCACATGGACATGAAGAAATGATGCCATGGCGGGGGACAGGGTGTCTTGAGAAATGAGGTAGGGGACAAAGTGTAGAGGGATTGACGGGGACCCCTCATGGCCACACCGAGTAGTCAGCATTAACATGGACAGCGGGAGGCCCAGTGTGGTGGCTCACACCTGTAATTCCAGCATTTGGGGAGGCCGAGGTGGGAGGATTGCTTGAGCCCAGGAGTTCAAGACACACCCCGGCAAACATAGCGAGACCTCATCTCGACAAAAAAAAATGCAAAAGTTAGCCAGGCGTGGTGGTGTGAGCCTGTAGTCCCAGCTGCTCAGGAGTTTGAGGTGGAGGATCGCCTGAGCCCGGGAAGTCGAGGCTGCAGTGAGCGAGGACTGTGCCACTGCACTCCAGCCCGTGAGACCCCGACTCAGACAAATAAGTTCAGGACAGCAGGGAGTTGCCACGAATCACAGGGAAAGGGTCTGTGTCAATGAAGGTGCTTTGGCTGCGCGCAACAGAAACTAACAATGGCCACATGGAGAGAAACGCAGATTTGGTGTAAGGAGATGCGAGCCGCCCTGATGTATGTCTTTCCACAAGAAGTGGGAAATGTGAGTTCAAGTTCTCACCAGGCTTCATGTGGGCCGGTTCTAGCTGCACCGTCCAGAAGTGCAGCAAACTGCCCACCAGGGCTGGAGGATGCCCCTCTCGATGGCATGCCCTGGGGCGGGAGGAGGCAGTGTGCCAGCGCCAAGACAGGGCGCTGTCACCAGAGTGATGACACATGCAAGCTGTGCGCAGGCCCGGTGCAGTAACAATGGGACTAAACCAAGATCATGCTTGACACAGCACATGTGCAGAGGAGCAGGGAGAGGCAGGCCGGTGCAGCAGGAATCTGGGAGCGAGCCGGGAGCACCTCTGCCAGGAAGCAGGTGCCCAGGGACCCAGAGGGCGGGACCCGAGGTCAGGTGCACGGCTCCTGTCCCAGGCAGGCCGTCCAGGTTCCCAGGAGCAGGACGGGCCCGGGAAGCACAGCCGCTCGGCCAGGAAGACCGAGGGGAGGGCCCAAGAGAGCCCTGAAACGGCTTCAGGGAGCACCGAGGAAGTTCCGCGGACGTGACGCCAAGGCCAAGGTCACACCGCCCCGAGGACTGAGTTCACATGCTCGCTGAGCATCAAGAGCCTGACCTTTCCACACCCCGTCTAATCCTAAGCCGCCGGCTCCAGAGGCTCAGTGCTTGGGAAAGGGGGCTGAGACGGGCTGGACACGGACTCCGAAAGAAACGGGCATCGAAGGGTCAGAGCCTCCGGGCCTCTCGGGGACGTCCCTGTCCTGCCTGGGGTGACCCGGCCCCGCCCCACGCCAGGCCCTCACTTGCCGATGGCCGTGTTGGTGGCGATCTCCTCCAGCAAGGCCTCGCAGGCGGCAGACTTCTCGGCCAGGACGACCTTCTGCTCGGCGAGCTTCTGGTTCAGCTCGTCCAGCTGGATGGCGGCCTCCTTCAGCTTGTCCAGCCCCCCTTCCAAACGCTTGCACTGAGCTGAGGAGAGAGCGCCCGGTGCTTCTGCCGTCAAGGGGGCGCGGTGGCCAACAGCCCGGGGCTCGCTGGGACTCATCAAGCTTGGGCTTCATGAGAAAGCAACCCTTTTTACGCGATGGCTCGCACCTTCTGGCACCCCCATTGCCGGGCGGCAGGGGCATCGGCCAACATGAACATATGTCTGAAAATAGCACTGCGCCTGGCCAACCGCCAGAGCCGGAGCGTTTCTTTAAAAGCATTTTCCAGCGGAGACGCGGCTGTGTCGAACAACATCTCTAATGTGGGTCAGGCACAGTGGCTCACGCCTGTTATCCCAGCACTTTGGGAGGCCAAGGAGGGAGGATCTCTTGAGGCCAGGAGTTCGAGCCCAGCCTGGGCAACATAACGAGACTCTGTCTCCACAAAAAAAAAATCTTAAAAATTAGCTGGTGTGGTGGTGCAAACCTGTAGTCCCAGCTGCTTGGGAGGCTGAGGTAGGAGGATCACCTGAACCCAGGAGCTTGTGGCTGCAGTGAAGTTGAGTTATTATCATACCACTGCAATCCTCCCTGGATGACAGAGAGAGACTCTGTGTCTAAGTAAATTTAGAAAGATACCTCTAATGTGATGAAAATGTAAAGCCACCAAGTATACGACCCAACACTAAAAATAAAAATAAGGCCCTGCCAGGGTCCTTCCCACATGGAAGAATTACTCCAGAATGTAAAAATCCAAAACGTGCCATTTGCTTGGCCTCAGACTTGAGGATGCCTGATCTTGCAAGAAACATCAGTTTAAGGAAGAGAATGGAACGTTTCTCTGTCTGGGACACACACACACACACACACACACACACACACACACACACACACAATTTTCTCTCTGGGACACACACAAAAGACAAGACAAAATCCACATCGAATCCTTACGTGGAAATAATAGTGATTTCTGTGAAGCCTTGTCCCCAAGCCTCACCTATGTTATACTGAGTTTTCTCCTCCAGCAGTTTTGAGTAGGTGTTTATGTAATCAAGGTAGTTCTTGGGAGTTACGTAGTTGCTGCGCCTGAGTTTCTGGAGAAATCGCTTGCTGTAGTGACCCACGGACTGGTGAACCAGAACAACGTGGTCCACCAGGTCTCCGAAGTTCTCTGATGGGATCATCTGATTATCCCCTGAGGAGGAAGGAATGAAAACAGCCCCTCTTGAAGAAAGGAAAACAATGGTTCCCCAAAAGGTTAAACACAGAGTTGCTGTATGATCCAGCAATCCCACTCCCAGGTAGGAACCCAAGGAGCAGAAAGACAAAGACCCCAACAGATTCGGGCACATGGTGTTCACAGCGGCTCTCTTCACAATAGCTGGAAGTGGAAATGACCAACTGGCCACCCACTGAGGAGTGGAGGAACACAGCGTGGTCTGTCCACACCATGGAATAGTATTCACCCATGCAAAGGAAGAAAGCACTGACGCACGCTCCAGTGGGACAGGCCTTGAACTCATCCTGCCCAGCAGAAGAAGCTGAACACAAAAGGCCACATACGAGAGGGGACCCCCCCAAAAAAACAAAATTATTTTTTGGGGGATGGGCCCCTGGTAGTCCAAGCTTCCCCTGCTAGGTAAGTGTTCCAGGAACCCATTGGTATCCGTGAACTAGCTAGCATTGTTGTGAGAGGCTACATTTGGCTTCTGTGATTTTTTTTTTTTTTTAAGATTCTTTCGACGTGTTGTTTGCCCATTTCATGATGGGTGATTTACCAGCACACCTGCCCACATCGTGCTGAGTGCTCTGCAGTCTTTGGCCAAAAGTGGCGTGACTCCTGAGCCTCACCTTCCCTATTCACCAGATCACAACTTTTTGTTTGTTTGTTTTCCTGGATGAAAAACGTCCTCAAAGAGAGACGTTTTTGCTGACGTGAAGGAGGCAAAACAAAATACAGCAGAAGCACTAAATGGCATAAAAATAGATGAGTTCTAAAACTGTTCTGAGCAGTGGAAAAAGCATCTTGATAGGTGCATTGCATCCAACAGAGAGTACGTTGAAAGTGATTGAAGTTTAAACATGTAAGAGTCAATACACAATTTTTTAATAAATAAATTCTGAGTTTTTTGGGATCCCCCTCATATTATCTGATCCGCTTACATGAAATATCTAGAATAGGCCAATTCATAAAGGCAGAAAGCAGATTTGAGTTGCCGGGACTGGAGAGAGGGGAGATAGGGAGTTGCTACTTAATGAGTCCAGAGCTTCGGTTTGGGATAATGGTGATGGTTGCACAACATTATGAATGTAATTAACGCCACATGTACACTTAAAAATGTTTAAAATGGAAACATTTTTGGTTTTTGGGGTTTTTTTGAGTTGGAGTCTCACTCGGTTGCCCAGACTGGAGTGCAGTGGCCGCTCCCGGGCCACTGCAATCTCGACCTGCTGGGCTCCGGTAATCCGTCCGCCTCAGCCTTCCAAGTAGCTGGAACTACAGGCGCGTGCTACCACGCCCAGCTAATTTTTTGATTTATTGTAGAGATGAGGTCTCCCTGCCCAGGCGGGTCTCGAACCCGCGGCCTCGGGCCATCCACTCACCTCAGCCTCCCAAAGGCGCGGGATTACAGGCTGAGCCACCGAGCCTGGCTAACATTTTTGTTATACCTATCTTACTACAATAAAAAATGACTTAAAAATTTTTAATAACAAAAGAAAGGAGGCTGGGTGCGGTGGCTCAGGCCTCTAATCCCAACACTTTGGGAAGCTGAGGAGGAAGGATCCCTTGAGCCCTAGGAGTCGAGACCAGCCTGGGCAACACAGCAAGACCTCGTCTCTACAGAAATCAAAAACTTAGCTGAGCATGGTGGCACATGCCTGTGATCCTAGCTCCTCAGGAGGCTGAGACAGAAGGATCACCTGAGCCCAGGATGTCGAGGTTGTAATGAGCTGTGATTGTGGCCACTGCACGCCAGCCAGCCTGGGAGACAGAGTGAGACCTCGACAAACATAAAATAAAATAAGGAGAAAGGAAAAGAGCGGTTTTCACTTGCCGGTGGCTTTCTGGGCCCCAGCAGTGATCTGTGCCCTGGCAATTTCCCTGATAACACAGAACGTCAGCTCTCCTTCCTTCCTGTTGGGAAACTGACATCTCTGGTGGCTAAAGATGCTGTGGAGGAAGGGGTTGGCGATTCCAGGAGAGAGTCCCAAATCTAATCCCTGCCCTGTTATGTCAGTCAAGCAATGTCCCCCTGGGGGTTGGGTGGGCTTATTCAGGCATTCACTGTGAGGCAAAAGAGGGCCTCCCTATAAACCTGTTGGAGGAATCAATGATTGCTTCCAGTGCCAAGATCATGTTGCTCAGATTATCTGACACGGTAAATACATTCACCCCAAGGCCAGGTGTGGTGGCTCACACCTATAATCCCAGCACTTTAGGAGGCCGAGGCGAGAAGATTACTTGAGTCCAGGAGTTTGAGACCAGCCTGGGCAACATAGAGAGATCTCGTCTCTACAAAAACAAATTTTAAAAGTTAGCCAGGTATGGTGGCGCTTGCCTGTAGTCCCAAGCTACTCAGGAGGCTGAGGTGGAAAGATCGCCTGAGTCCAGTGAGTAGAGGCTGCAGTGAGCCATGAGTGTGCCACTGCACGCCAGTCTGAGCAACAGAATGAGACACTGGCTCAAAAAAAAAATTTACTCATAAACGAACCCTGAACATTTGTCATAATACTATAAGAGAGGGATTGGTAGTAGCTGGAAACCGCGAGGCGGGGGAGCAGGGGGCACATAACATCAAAAAGAGTACCTGATCTCAAGCCAGGCAAAGTGGGGGCCAAAGGGAGGCCCAAATGTTACCTGTACAATGACCACTAGTGCACCTAATCCTGAATTGCACCCCACATCTTTAAATTTAAAAAAAATAATAAAAATACATTCACCTCAAAGCAGAGAATGTCTCATATTGAAATGAAGGCAGGAAAGACAGATCAAAAGTATGGACTTATCCAGATTCTGCAGCCCTGATTTTGAATTATACCAGAGCTCAGCAAACCACAGCCCCAGGGCCAACTGCACAGTGTGCAGGAAAAACTTTGCCTTACAAACATGTATGCTCTGGGGCACATCATCCCATTCCAGGGAATATATTCTAAGGAAAAAGTCCCAAGCGAATTTCAGGCACTGAACCGCTGGATACTGAAGGCAAATGCACGTGCTAACACGGGGACACGAGTACACGACACAGTAGGGTGCACCTACATGGAGGACAAATCTGGCCCACCACCTGTTCTCGTAAATAAAGTTTTATTGAAACACAGCCATGGCCATTTATGCACATGTTGTCTGTGGCTGCTTTCATGAATGGCAGAACTGAGGCATTGCGACAGGGCTGTCAATAGTCACCATCTGAATCTTGACTGAAAAAGCTTGCTGCCCCCGAGTTGCATCATCAGAGAGGAGTCATTCTCTTAGCCTCTTCTCGAAAAACTGCATTATGATTAAAGCTATGACTGCGGCTTGTCTAGAGAGAGCATCCATTTAGATACCAAATATAGATTTATAAGGTTGAAGCCATCACAAGGTCACCCAGTGTCGTTTGCCAAAAATCCCCAAGTTAGGCCCAGAGAAAACTATTCTTTTCCCTGAAGATAAATGGACTTTCTTTCCCATTCAAAGACTAAAATTAATATCCAAGGCCTTAAGTGTTTGGGACTTGAGAGAGAAATTCAGTGCGGGTTGAGAGTGTTCACTGAAAGGGCTTTGGGACATCTTTGGGTGAGCAGCCAAAGTACTTTCTCTACCAAGAACCAAATAGTCCTAGTACAGTCTCCGTTGCAGTTACTCAGCTTTGCTGTTGGAGCATAGAAGCAGCCATTGATAACATGCTAATGAACACGCGAGTCTGTGTACCAATAAAGTTTTATTTACCCAAACAAGCAGTGGGCTGATTGGCAACAGGCCATGGTTTACAACTCCTGCCTTAGATGACGCCTTATCGATTTTTATCCCAAACTCTCCTTGTAAGGCTCCCGAAATCCCACCGGGCTAAAACACAGTATAAACCAAAAACATACTAACAAAATTAAAAGCCCTTTGTTACCCTAAGGGTTTACAGAGAAAGGAATCTACTGGACCAAAATTCAAAGTCAGAAACGTGATGACAAATTGCTTTGTTACAGCAACAAAGCGGTCTCCAGAATAGCTGTGACTTACCTAAAAATGACTTAGCCACGGCCTGGAGGGCTTGGGGAGGCCAGGACATGAACCAGTCAATGCCAGTGTTGTTTACCAGACCTTGAAAAGAAAAAGGTGAAAAAGACGCTCGCTCTGTCGCCCCAAGATGCTCCAGAACATTGATACCATCTTCAGTGGCCAGCAAACCAGTGCCTGAGCTGGACGTGGCCAAGAATAACTCACCAAAAGCAGAGAATCTCGACCTTGGCACTAGTGACATCTGGAACTAGGGAATCCTGGGTGACAGAGGCTGGCCATGCACCATGGGACGCTTAGCAGCATTCCCGGCTTCTACCAGATGACAGTGGTATACCATACCCCCTTCCCTGGACCGTGGCAACCAAAAGTCAGTTCCCCTCCACGGCACTAAGAATCTCCGCTCTAGCCGGGCTCGGTGGCTCAGCCTGT